TGCCCAGGGTGTGGGCTGGGTCCCCAGTAGAGGGCGTGAGGGAGGCAGCCGATCATTGATTCTCTCTCATCACTGATGTTTCTCTCTCTCCCTCTCCCTTCCTCTCTCTGAAATCAATAAAATCACTTTAAAAAAGAAAATATGCACAGTTCCGTTTCAGCCCTGGATTACTTACATTGATCTTTGCAAAGTTTTTGTGTTTTGGTTTTTAAAAGAACAACATTATTCACACCTCGTGCTTTCTTGTGTTTCCTCACGCCCGTCTCCCTGCGGTAAGCAGATCTAGATAGAGCATGTCCCTTAGGGCGTGCTGACCACCCTTTCTTCTTACCCTCCAGTCCCGCCTCCCCCACCCCTTCTCTCTCCTCCTCCTTAGAGCAAGTCAAAGAAAGGCAAGGTTTGGGGAGAACTACTAAGCACATGTTATTATACTTCAGAACTAAGCCATGGGACCCACACATTATCTTTGTAGCTATTGACAATATAATATGTTTATTCTGAGGTTGCTGATGCGCATTATATGTACAGAACATGAGGAATATCCACAGGACAGGATTTTGGCATTTCTGGGTTTCTGAACATAATACTATCAAAGCAACAACATTCTGATTCTCAGCAGTCACCACTGACTTCTTTTTCTCTCTCTTTTCCTCCAGCTTTATTGTACTACAATTGATACATAAAAATTATATGTATTTAAGGTGTACAGTGTGATGTTTTCATATACATATACACTGTGAAATAATCACTGCAATCAAGCTAATTAGAATATCCATCTCACATAGTTACCTTTTTTTTTAGGTAGTGAGAACATTTAAAATCTACTCTGCTAGCAAATTTCAAGTGTAGAATATATTATGAACTATTAACTATAGTCACCATGGTGTACATCAGTTAGGTCTTTACCACTGACTTTCTAATAGTCAAATTCAATGATTCAATGATTTCAGATGTTCTATTTTCTTTGATCTCTATGCCATATATTTGATTCTCTTAGCCATTTCCTCCCTCTTTAAATGCTTTACTTGGCTTTTATGCCATGTTACTTTACTGGTTATTTATGATAACTCACATCTATTGGCTATATTGCCCACTATTTATTTGCCTGTCTTCTAGCAAAATAGCACCCCATATTTTTATGGACCCCCCTAACAATCTCAGCTCATATTATATACTTCCACTAACATCTCAAGACGTGGAAGGCACTGGTTGGCCCTCACCTGATTATCAAACTGGCACCACCCAGCTGCGGTAATTGGGCCAGGGATGGGCACATAATTAGCAGGTCTAATTAGATACAATACGAAGTTTGCTAGGGCTGCAGAAAGTAGCTCTTTTTCTGCCCCTCAGACTTGAGTGTGCAATAGGATATAGAGAATGGAGCTTATTGTAGCCATTTGGCCACCGCATGGAATTTAAGAATTGAGTCTAAGTAGCAAGAAGCAGAGTGGAGAGATGCAGCAAAGTCTCCTCTTGAGAACATACTGGTGTTTGAGTCCTATATCCAGCTGTACTTGAAACCAGTTTACCATACACTTTTCAGAGACAAGAGCCAATAAATCCTTCCTCTCCGCTATGATTTTTGATTTGGGTTTAACCAGTTTGATTTGGATGTTCTTTCTTTTGCAATTGAAACAATACAAAAACAAACAAAGCAACCTCTGTATTTTACAGTGTACATATAAATGTATACATATGCATGCATAGAGGAAGTTCTGGCAAGATTCATTTCAAAGTAGTAGGAGGGCTTTATTTCTGGGGAAATGGGGCTTTTTATGGTGGAAGAGATAATTGGGAAGGAATTTTTGTGTTATTTTATTGTTAGACTGCTTTACAACAAGGATGCATTTCTTGTGAAATTAAAATTAAACATCAAACAAACATAGAGACAACACTCTGCCTCCAAGCCCACCAATCCCCTCTCAACAACCACCTCAAAGACTTCTATTGAATTAATGAGCAATGCCCTGGCCTGATACTCCGGATCTGTAGCAGCAGAGCTAAAACCTTCCTCTCTCTTCTTTTTGTTTTCTACAATGGTCCCTTAGTGTTCCTGGAGGTTGTAAAGCAAATGTACTTTAAACTGGGTCTTTTGAACTCACCTTGCAAACCAATAATGATGTTCCTAATTATTATTTACTCGGCAATAGCAATTAATTACATTTCAAAATACTTTTTCATGCTTACTCTACTTAATGAATAGTTGCTGCACCATTATATCCTTTGCAAATGAGAAAACAAGGCAAAAACTAATTGAGTGGTTTGTCAAAAGTTGTAGAGTAAAACAGCGATAGTGATGGGACGTGGGTCTTCTGATTCTCAGCCGATGGGCTTTCCATGATCTGCAGTTGGGGCAGTCTTTGGAAACTCCATTTTACACTCACGCTGTAGTGCTAAATTAAATTTGGCCCCCTCCACAGGCTGAGAAGAACTCTGTTTAGCTCCCAATGTCTTTTTTTCTGTGTCATATTTGTTTTTCAGATGTAACCTGATTGTAAGTATTTAAATGCCCTGATGATATGGAGCAGAACCATTTAAGCAGTTTAATGTTCTGCTCCACAAAGATGAATTTCCAACAAGGGATGCTCAGGAGGCAAGGTGTTCACTACACGTGCTGGGAATAAAGGGCAGTTTGTTTCATCTCAACAAGGGAAGAACTGTCAACACTACCCGCTGATCTGACCTAGGGGGTCTTTCTCATCAGAAGCGGCGAACCCGCTCGTCACCAGGTGGCGCAGTTTTGCTGTGTAGACGTGGGAAAGGCGCTCTCACCTGAACCTTCTCAGACCCTGAGCATTAAGGAGCTCATTGCTTCAGAGCTAAAAGCTCTCTCTCTGTTTAACTGATCCCAGGGAATAATGAATGATACAGTCTTGCTTTGAAGCCACACGATAAGCTTAAAAAGTTAAGCCCTCTGAACTCATTCATTTTTTCTTATTGCTGGAAAGTGTTATATTGTGGGATATAATCATGACTGAGAATCCAAATAAGAGCAATTTTGACAAATTCTAATATAACTTTATTAAAACAGAAACGACAAAATCCTTTTCTCTAGGAGAAAACAGTTTGAGGGGTACATGAAAATTGGCCTTAGGCTAAGAAATCTTTTGTTCAAATAAGGGAAATATCAGAGCACCGAAATGAGGAACATAATCATATAATGCTCTACCTCCTGCCCTTGGCCTGAAGAATGAAAGCAAACCACAGGGCCGGTCAAGTTTCTCCTCTGAAGTGGAACTGTGTGGAATGATTTACAAATGATTTAAATCAAAGGGCGAGAAAAAAAAAATCACACAAAACCACAAAAAACAAACAAGGGTTGCAAAAGTGTCTTGCTTTGTTTCAGGAAAATGAAGTAGTTCAAATTGTTCCTGCAAATGGAGAGGAACAGCGGGGATTTCTCAGGGGAGAAGACAGCTTTCCTTTTGGTGAGCATGTTGGGGGGAGGGAGGCGAAGATCGCCTATTAAATCACAAATCAGATTCTCGGGTTTACTTCCTACCACTGGGAACTACCTGGGTACACAAGAGTGAAATGTATAAATGTGAATTTCCTTTTAAACGTGAGGGATCCATAGAAGGAGCTTTGGGATTCACCTGGGGAGATACATGATCTCTGTCCTCAAAGAATCAGGACCTACCAAGTGTTTAAAATAAGCATAAATTGCGGAGGGACTGGAGATGAGAGAAAACTCGTTACACATTGGAAGAGCAGTCCTGAATTGGCCCACGGCAGACCAATGTATGTCACAATGTTACAGAGAGAAGAGGACTTGCTATGTGCCACACCACGGTATGGACTTCTCCATCTAGCCGGTTTGCGCAGTGGTTGCAGCGGCCGCCCACTGGCGGAAGGATCCCGGGTTCGATACCGACCTCCGCTAGGTCCCCCTGTGGTGCAGGAGGCAACCAATCCAGCACCAAGGCTGTGTCTCTCTCCCGTGAATGTTTCTGTCTCCCTTCCACTCTCTCTGAAAATGCAATGGAAAAAATAGCCTCAGATTGAGGATTTAAAAAAAAAAAAGATATGCATTTTTTCTAGGCCCTTTGCAGCCATGGGCAACCCCAGGCTGGCAGAAGGATGTTTGAAGGGGTCCTCTCCCTGGCCCCCCGAACCGTGCAATGACCGTAGCCTGTTTCTCAGCTGGAAGCCCACTGCCTGCGATCCAGCTGCAACCCCCCCGCCAGGGCTAATTCCCTAGCGACGCCAGAGCCCCAAACGCAGGAACCTAAAGCAGAGGTGGCCCCCGGCCCGGGGGCGGG